TATATATATGAATTGTATTACTTTTGAAACTAAATATATAGAATGAAATTCACCTCCTGAATATTTCATCTCATGCTTGTTTTGTTTTTATTTTTGTTTTCTGTACAAATACTCAATTCTGAGTTGAACTTGAGCTGAGCACACATGGGTTCAGCCAGACTGTTGCTTTAGCGACACAGCCTGCCTGCATTTGTAAGACCACAGCAGCAGCCATATTCACAGTGCGTGTTGCATGTCTGCAAATGGCAAGGCTTTCCTTATGGGAATTAGACTGGACCTAGGAATAGAGCAGGAAGTCACACCTTGAATGTGTGAGTAGATTGCAGCTGATAAGTTTTTTCTCTTCTCTACACATCAAGTTCTCAGAATGACCCAAAGATTTAGAGGAAGGGTCTCTTGCTCAACCACACACTTGTGTTGAAAGGAAGGAAGCACTGTCCTTTGTGCTTAAGCTCTCCCAGGTGGTTTCCTAAGCCTCAGGGCTGCTGAGCTTTAAAGTGCTTCCTCACTTTTAAGCATAAGCATAAGTGGTGATGTGCCTTGAATTCCTTTTTATATCTTTAAGATAAAAGTCACATATGCGAACATGACTGTGTGAACATATATAATTTAGCAGTTTTCAGTGCAGTCACTATGTTGTACAAACATCATCAAACTCTGTGCCTCCACATCCTCCTCCCCCACTCTCTGGCAACACTGTCCTGTACTAACAGTATGTGTTTGACCATTCCGGGTACTGAATATAAGTGGAATCATATAATATGTGGCCTTTTTGGTCTGGCTTCTTTAACTTAGCAAGTTTTCAAGGTTCATCCACGTAGTAGCATATATATCAGTACTTCATTCTTTTTATGGCTGAATCATATTCCATTGTTTGTTGTACTTTGTTTATCCATTCATAAGTTACTGGGTATTTTGATTGTATCTTAGTCCTTTTAGGCTGCTATAGCAAAATGCCTGAGATTGGGTAATTTATAAACAGCAAATTTTTTGCTCAAAATTCTGGAGGCTGGGAAGTCCAAAATAAGAGAGAGCATAGGTTTAATCCCAGCACTGCTAAAAGAAAATAAAAGAAAGAAAGGGCCAGGTGTAGTGATGCACACCTACAATCCCAGTGTCTCATGGGGCTAAGGCAGGAGGATCATGAGTTCAAAGCCAGCCTCAGTAAAAGTGAGGCACTAAGCAACTCAGTGAGATGCTTTCTCTAAAAAAAAAAACAAAAAAAGAAAAAAGGAAAATAAGGTTGGGGATGTGGCTCAGTGAGTTCAATCCCTGAGTTCAATCCTTGTTATACACACACACACACACACACACACACACACACACACACACATACACACACATACACATAAAAATCTCAACAAAAATCAAAGTGAAAGTTTATTGTCAATATGTGTAACAAGCCCAGGATTAGTTTCCAGAACATAAAGAAGTACTTCAAATGGCTAAGAAAGAGGCAGACCACCCAGATTTTTTTTTTAACTGACTCAGAGTACCTGAGACAGTTCACAGAGAACAGTGGAGTGCATTGTAAACATGAAAGTGGTGCTTTAAAATTTAACAGCTATGTGTGTGCTCTTCTTGAGTCTTTAACACAGAGAGTGATTCTGTGAACAGTATTAGAAATTGAACCCAGAAACCAGGGCCTCACACATCCTAGGGAAAAACTGAGCTACAACCCCAGGCCCTTTTAAATTTTATTTTGAGACAGAGTCTTGCTGAGTTGCTGAGACTAGCCTCAAGATTGAGAGCCTCCTGCCTCAGCCTGCTGTGTAGCTGGAATTACAGGCATGTGCTACCACACTGGATATGAGCCTTCCTTTTTTAAAAGAAATGTTTGAAATACTTTGAAGTTCTGTAGAATTTGATTTTTATTATTAACTTGGTAAATTTTAGACTCTACAAGTACTGGCAAACATTCACAATAATGTTGCCAGGAAATGCCCTGGTCAGCCTTTGTATAAGTGCCCTGTGTAACATTTTAATGAATACCATGGTAAAGGCAATTTGCTGCATTTCTTTGAAGAATGGGAGGCACACTTGCTTTGTGATAAGTAAATATGCTGAAAAGCCTGTTTTTATTGTTCACTATTTAATGTTGCAAAATTACTTTTATGTATCCTTCTTATGTATACATGTTACTACTACTTTCCCATTCATACTCCTGTTGTTACTCATTAAAGTTCAGTGCTTAGAATGTCCTGGATTCTATCATATATGTGTATGTGTGTACATGTATAACTCTGTTTAAGTTTCTTTTTACTTTTGGCTAGAGTGGTGTTTCTGGAGTAAGTAAAGTGTGGTCTCTCTCCTAGAGCGTCCTATACCTTTTGACCACATGATGTACGAGCACTTGCAGAAGTGGGGTCCTCGCAGGGAAGAAGTGAAATTTTTTCTTCGACATGAGGACTCCCCAGCCGAGAACAGTGAACAAGGTAGATAAATACTTTCTTCCTCATTTGCTAACTTTTGCCATATAAGTTAATTTCAGAAAAATTGAAATAAATGCTAAAGTAAGTCATTCACACTTTTTTTTGACCCTTTCACTTACAAGGGTGGTGAGAGGGAGAGTTAGTATTTCATGTTTTTTAAAATTCTGTTATTGCAGGTTAAAACCAATTTCCTTCTCAGGACTCTAAATTGGTCAGATAATGCACTCAAATATATAAAAGGACGTAGTGTATAATGGAATTATTTTTAATAAGTACCAAATGGGCCAAAATAGCTAGATTTTAAAATAAAGCCATGAGGGCTGGGGATGTGGCTCAAGTGGTAGCGTGCACACCTAGCATGCGTGAGGCACTGGGTTCGATTCTCAGCACCACATAAAAATAAAATAAAGATATTGTGTCCACCTAAAAACTAAAAAATAAATATTTAAAAAAAAAATAAAGCCATGAAATGAGTAGAAAAAGTTCTGAGGAAAATTTTTATTTTTAGATTGAATTAAGCCTAAGTGTAGCATTAAACCATAAAGACAAGACTGAGAAATGAATTATTTAAAACAAAACAAAAAAGACTGCCCAACCATAACCATCTTGAGCAAAGTCAGAAGACAATTTAGGAGCTGGGAAACAGCATGTGTACCTCATATTGCAGAGGTCTGCTTTCCTTTTCTTGTAAAGAATTCCTAAAAATAGGGGGCTAGGGTTGTGGCTTAGTGGTAATGCTCTCACCTAGCACATGTGAGGCACTGGGTTCAATTCTCAGCACCACATAAAAATAATACATAAAATAAAGGTATTGTCAATTGATCAACAAATATATGAAAAACTGTTCAATCTCTCTAGTAATTAGAGAAATGCAAATCAAAACTACTCTAAGATTTCATCTTATTTTTGTTAGAATGGTAATCATCAAGAATACAGGCAACAATAAATGTTGGCAAAGATGTGAAGAAAAAATTACAGTCCTACATTGCTGGTGGGACTGTAAATTGGTGCAACCACTCTGGAAAGCAGTATGGAGATTCCTCAGAAAACTGGGAATGGAACCACCATTTGACTTAGCTGTCCCACTCCTTGGTTTATACCCAAAGGACTTAAAATCAGCATACTATAGTGACACAGCCACATCAATGTTTATAGCAGCTCAATTCACAATAGCTAGACTATGAAACCAACCTAGGTGTCCCTTAATAGATGAATTGATAAAGAAAACGTGGTATATGTACTCAATGGAATATTACTGGCTTTAAAGAAGAGTGAAATTATGGCATCTGCMAGTAAATGTTTGGAGTTGGAGAATATCATGCTAAGTGAAATAAACCAATCCCACAAAACCAAAGGCTGAATGTTTTCTCTAATATGTGGATGCTATTAAATAAAGTGTGGGGGGGCACTAGGGAGGAATAGTGTTATCTTAGATTAGGTAGAGAGAAGTGATGAGAGGGGAAAGGAGAGGATGTGGCGATAGGAAAGGTAGTAGAATGAAACAGACATTATTACTCTGTGTATATATGTGACTGCAATGACCAATATGATCCTGCTACATGTGCACTCAGAAAAATGAGAAATTATATTTCATCTCTGTATGATATATCAAAGTGCATAAATGCATTCTAGTGTTATATATAACTAATTAAAACAAACAAATTTTTTTAAAAAAAATAAAGGTATTATGTCCATCTACAACTAAAATTTATTAAAAAAAAAAGAGTTCCTAAAAATTGATAACATGCCTAAATCCCCAGTTACTGGGGAGACTCAGGCAGGATGATCCCAAATTCCAGGCCAGCCTGGGCAATTTAGCGTGATTRTCTCAAAATAAAAAGGAGTGGGAATATGGCTCTGTGGTAGAGCACTTGCCTAACATGTGTAAGGCCTTGAGTTCAATCCCAAGAATCAAGGGAGAAAAAAACTGAAAAGAATGGGGAAAATACACACAGAGTTCACAGAAAAGGAAATACACATTGCCCTAGAATGTATGAAAAGATGCCATACTCCTAATTTAAAAATGCAGGGACAGCTGTACTGAGATGCTCTTGTTTTACCTGTCATGGTGGCAAGGCTCAGCACGGTTGCTAGCTAGCACATGTTGATGGTGCTGAGAAACAGGCCCTGTTCAGCAGTGCTGGGGCACAGCAATGCTCTGCAGCACTGCATACAGAGAAACCCTGTGCCCTGGCTTGGGCCCTCCTGGAGATGTGCTCAGGGACCAGAGTATGGTGCAAAACCCGTGTTGCCTTTTCTGTAACCTTGAAAAGAACAGCTTTGTGATTGCGTGTGGATGTATAAAGTGCCTTTTCTATATCTATATAAAAGGAAATTGTGCCCCTCGGTCTAGCTGATCTCTGCTTTAAAATAATCTCCCTGTGGCTGTAAGCATTGCTGACTTTACAGAACACTGTCACTTCTGTATTTTCCTCCACTGCTTCTGGTCATCTGGAGTCAGGCCCCCAAGGCTCTGGACAAGGGCCTTCCTCTGTGGGAAAGTTGCCCTGAGAAGCTTTGCTAGCTCACAGTGGAAGGGCTGCTCTAGCACTAAGGGTTTATTTTAATTCTACTTGAGCTTTCTAGGTATCTGTACCCTCCCTTCCTTAGCTATACTTAAATAAAAAGTTTTATTTCTCACTTTTATTGATGTGTAATTTCTGTATGTAAACCTTAATGCCCCAGAAAAGGGTTATTTTTTCACTCCCTCTGCTGCTCAGTCTAGGTGTAGAGATGATAGTACACTCTAGAGAAGGGCCCTACCCAATGTATTTTGTCACCATCTCAAGTTCAGGTCATGATAAATCTTGAGACACAAAAAGATCTTCAAACCGCTGCTGGACAACTTAATTTGATTATAGGTATGTGCGGGGACTGGGCCCCGAGGTACTGAGATCCGTGTGCCATCGAGTCAGACAGAGCATTGAGAAGGATGTGGGCCTTGAGGAAGAGTGGGGCATGAGGGCAGAGCGAAGGCTGTTGCATGCCAGGCAGGGATTATGTGGAGGGTCCCTGAGGGGCCAAGCAAGACTTGGGTGGTGGGGAGCACCCCTTCTCCATCCAGGCTAGATCAGGAGTTTGGTCAGCACTGGAAAAACTGAATTTAGTACTTATCCTTCACACTGCACTACCTGGATCATTCAGTAGAGTGCCTGTCCCTTTGTCAGTGCCCTTCAGATCGGCTTCACTGGCATTTCTAATGTGACCTACCCAGATACCCACCCTCGCTGTCCCTTTCTCTCCTCCAGTCAGGCTGTCTTGCTCATTCATTGTCTTGTGTACCCTGACTCAGAGTCCCAACCACCTGACCCTGCCAGGCTCCATCCTAGGTCTTGTTCCTCTGTCGGTGCCAAGATGTGTTCCACCCCTCAGCTGAGGAGCATCTGGCAGGGAGAATAGCTCACAYACCATGTTGCCTCTGCCCTGGCCCACTCTGCTGTGCTCATGACTTGTCTCCCCAGCTTATGTTCTAAAGCCACATTTGGGACTCAAGACTTGTGCTTCCTGCTGAGGGCAAGGCAGTTGTCTCTGATTGGTGTCAATTAAGAAAAATCTCAAGTGAATGTTGCATAGAACTATAGGAATCAAAAGAAGTAAGAGATAACTCTTAACTTGAAGGTTGGGGACTCTCTGTTTAGAAGTCAGAGGAGAATGTAGAGGACTTTACTTCAAGTCCCCTTTACACTTGGGAAGCAGAAGCACAGAGCGGTGAAGTGAGGGCCACCTGTCCAGCCAACCAGAGCCAGGAGGTGTGTGATGGAGGTAGGATCGAGAGCACGTGGGTTTCCGCCTGGACCTCTTGGTGGGACCTTGACAGATGATTTCTCACCCCTATGCCTCAGTTTCCTCATCTGTAGAGTGCACAGGTTAAGAGAGGTACTGTGAGTGCATGGAGGGCTGGGAGCATGGTGAAGCACTCACTAAATGTCAGCTTGTTATTATTTTCTGACTCTGAAATGTAAGATTATATTAAGTTTCTGTTTTACCATCAAAGATTAAGTGGCACTTGGTATAGTTTAATGCTGTATATTTATAGTGTTCTAATTTCTTGTTAGTTTACTCTTTGGAAGAGGAATAGTATTAAATTACCCTGAATTTCTTGTTCCTTAAAAATACTAAGAAAAGGGGGGCTGTGGATGTGGCTCAAGCGGTAGGGCACTCGCCTAGCATGCGTGCGGCCCGGGTTCGATCCTCAGCAGCACCACATACCAACAAAGATGTTGTGTCCGCCGAGAACTAAGAAAAAATGAATAAATGTTAAAATTCTCTCTCTCTCTCTCTCTCTGTCCCTCTCACTCTCTCTTTAAAAAAAAAAAAATACTAAGAAAAATAAAAATTTAAAGTGTAAACTGATAAACACCGTAGCTTTTGTAATCGCTTATCATTGTTGTCCCCCAAGGAAGATTTTTTGGATATTATATTCTTTTTTAATCATTTTTATAATTTGTTCAGAGATACGAAATTAAGGAGTCATTTAAAATAAAAACATCTGATAAACATAAGGAATCCTCTAATATTTGGAATCCATAAGATTCCAGTTCTCCTGTGTGACTCTCCAATTTCTATGATTAGATATGTGGATGTTGGGTTCTTACTTGTCCTTCCTTCTCCCTCCATTAGCTATACTGTTTATACATTTATGTACTATATATCTTTGCTTTTTACATAAAGAGTGAGGGTTTTTTTAACCCCTTAAGCACCAGCTTCTGCCCTGTGGGGCACTGTCATCACCATTTTGAGAATACATGGTTTAATGAAACCATGCATCCAAAATGTGAATTTTGTTTACACTTTTCAAAGTAGGCAAGGAATAAAAGGAAAACATTTTTAAACATTAGGCATGACCCTTAGGTCATGTGTTCTTGGGTATTAAAATAGCTCTGGGCTTGACTCTTCTTTATGGCACCAACTGCAAACCAGGTGGTCAGGCAGGAGCAGCCCTGCAGCACCTCAGAGACCCAGGGCCTGCTCTGCAGAGCCACATACTGCTGCATCCTCACTATGCTTTACCTTTTTCAAGAAGGTGCCAGAACAAATAGGGAATTTTTCCAGTTTAAATTGATGCCTTTTTTTAAACAAAAAAATTTAATTTTTACAGAACAAAGGGAGATTCATGACATTGTCAGATTGGCGAGGGTATACCATCTCAGTTTTAACCCAATAAGTGTAGGTGAGTTTTTT